TCTTAAACTTTCTTTCGTTTTCTTTCCTCCAGAGGAGCGTGTGCGCTCCTGTCCCACTCCCCCTCGCGTTGTAAAAACTCGCTGATTATCGTTTAAAAGGGGGGCACGAGAACATCGGGGGGGAAAAAAACATGATGAGCAATAATACATACTACGACCAGCAGCTGCCGCCGCAGTATTACCAGGGCACCGACAACGGGGAGGGCGGAGACGAGGAGATGCCGGCCACGGAGAAGGACCTGGCGGAGGATGCTCCCTGGAAGAAGATCCAGCAGAACACCTTCACCAGGTGGTGCAACGAGCATCTGAAATGCCTCAACAAAAAGATCAACGACCTGCAGAAGGACCTGAGCGACGGGCTCAAGCTCATCGGGCTCCTGGAAGTTCTCAGCCAAAAGAAAATGTACAGAAAGTACCACGCCAGACCCAATTTCAGGCAGATGAAGCTGGAGAACGTGTCCGTCGCGCTAGAGTTTCTAGAAAGGGAACACATCAAACTGGTTTCTATAGGTAAGTGCTGTTTTATTGCATAAATATGCGCTCAACTCGGTGGTAAACGCGCTTTGTTGCGATTTTATGCAATTTAGGTAACCGTAACTTTCTTAAAGTTGTTTAAAACAAACAAAAGGGTTTTGTGATGTGTAAATCTTCAATTAAGTGATTGTGATGATGTACCGTTCGGTAATGGAACGCGTATTGTTGCTATGGTTACCTCATCCTTCCAAGTTCGCGAGCGTTTACTTGGCGCACTGTGACTTCTAATCTAACTTTTGTGGCTAGTGAAACGTTCTTTGAAAAGCTTGACACGTATACTTACACGTATAAAGAAAACATACTTTTGAAGGCCACCTCGACTGTTTGTTTTAACGTTCTGTGGGGGGCTCAAGCCTTAATTAGAGGGTCAGGCCACGCAAACTACTCATAATTAGCTATCATAATGGGTCTGTTTTCCACTTTAACTGTAAATATTGATTTTCATTTGTTGTAATTTCATTAGTTATAATTTTGGAAGTTCTAAAGTATTATTTTAGATTGCCCACACTCATTCTTCTTCTTTGAATGGACAGCTGGAGCTCATACTATCCATGAAAAATGTGATTTTTGCCTTTTGTGCATAATAATTTGCTCATTAAAAACACTTCATAATACGTTTCATTGAAAAGTAAACATTAGGCCTATATACAGTAGATATGACAGATTAGAAGTGCATGTTCATTCAAATAAAAATCAAAGTTTCATGATGTTTGTTTGAATGCACTTTAAATATATATGCTTTTTATGTTGACATGGTAGATGCTGGAAATCATCTGATGCAGATAATCTCAAGTGACCCAATATTGGCTGATATATTGCTTAAATTATAGATATAATTGTCATTCATTTGATTTTTATTGTTGTTTGACATCAGCTACTCCTGTTGATATGATCATATTCAGTATTATATGAGGCAAAAATAGATCCTAGGACAGTAGTTGTACATTTTGGGGTGCATTTTGTACCCCTAGGCTTTGGGACACGGTCCCAAACTCAGCTCTGGATCAGTGTTATTATGGATTTGTGGATCCACCTCGTTTGGAAAGGGCATGCAGGCATGAAATAACCATTGATTAGAGTGTATCCTTATATGTCAGAAAGGAATTTTGGGAAGCTGTTTTTTATTGCATTTATTTCTAATATTTCTTTGTATTTAAAGATATTCCAGTACTTGTAGTGGACTGACAGACTGATACTAAACTAATGCCTCAACATCAGCAAAAGGCTGTAAATGTGGCTGATCTGAGATAACCTCATAATGTTTTATTATAATGCACCAAATATCATCAGACATATGTCAAAAAGTACAATGGCTCTTTCTGGGTCACCTTGGCTTCTTTAAAATGACTTTGGGATCTGGTTTAGGGTCAGTGCCGTTTTTTTTTTTTTTTTTGCAGTGGCAAAAGCCTTATATTGTTCTGATAGCTCAGTGGTGGGTGTCAGGAATTGGCAGCATGGCATTCTTTCAAAACAATTAGACAACAGAAAAAGGGCAACGTTCATTCCTATTACTGTTGTGGGGTTGGTATGTTTATAATAAAGACTGGATTTAGCCATTGATAGACACTGAATGATTATTTGATTGGACTTTGACTGCAGATGTGAGCCTCCTACTGGGTTTGGGGGAAGGAGCCAACCGTCTCACACGCTGGCACATGACAGCAGTGCTTTGAGCCCGGCTGTCATTGGCAATGAGATGGATCTTTCCAGAAGGGCACCTACCTCTCAGAACTCCCCTTACGCAAGAGTGTAGGGTGAAAGAGGTGCAGGAAAAACTCTTGCACCCTCGTCCAAGAAACCCTGTGTGTGTGTGTGTGTGAACTCTGTCACATGGGGGTTGGCCTGCTGCCGCCACAGGAAATACCACTCACCTCATTTATTTTATCACTACGCACTCAGTTACTCATGCAGATGTACCTGAAAGTGTGAGAATATAAAGATTTACATTTACATGCATACATGAAAATAATACGGAGCACCTAAAGGGACATGGTGATGGTAAAAGAGAATGAAATAGGGGGGGGGGGAATTA